GAACATGTGAGGCTGGCTAAGACCGCACATTGGACGCGTCTCGGAAGAACAGCCTTGAGCGGGTTTTTTAGCGGTATACGAGGCAAAATCTTAGCGATAAAATGTATCGGTATGCGGATTTATCGTTATGTGATGCCAACGGTATGCGGGGTCCACTGTATTTTATTGTAGTCTTGGAAACTCACTGGGGTGTGTCTTGCAATATTAACCCCTTTGAGGGTTTTTCGTCGTACTAGTACGTCTTACGCGTAGGGGTTTTTGACGTACTAGTACTCATAAATTCTAGCGGCCTCAAATCTAGTGGGGGAAAAGCTGGTAGGCCTTCATATGAAAGAATGGGTCTATGTGGTCAGTGTGCACAGTCTAAAAAAAATCCTGCAGCACACAGTGCATAATGAGAAAAAAAAAAACTTTGGGCCATTTTTTTTGGAATAAATCAGCGACTTTGCGTGTATTTTCGTATGGTATTTATTGTTGTAATTTTTAGTTTTCTTGGGCTCATTTTATAGAATGGAAGACTTTTTACAGAAATTGAATTGATTTTGACTGGTTTACAAAGAAAGGTGCCTTGAAATTGAGCTCAAATTAGCAGAAATGTCGATTTTTACCAAACTTCAAAAGTAAACAAATCGTGCCAAGCGTGCAATACACGTCAACTGGTGAGTCTAATTTTTCTTTCACAAGTGCACCATAATATTTTTACATTTTTTACACTAATGCAGTAGTCGCATAACAGTAAATCTTATATTTTTTTTGAAAATAAAAATTCAAAGTGGAAAGCAAAAGAATATAAGAGGGGCCTTGAGACATGACTAATGACTAGAGGAAATGTCATTTTAGTGCCAGGAATGTCTTTCTTGTTTTTTCTGGACCCTATTTGGAAATTGGCATCTTTTGAAATTTGTGTGAAATTGGCAAAATTGCTAAATTCTGACCACTGTACTGGATAGTTGAATTTCATAAGTGAGTGGTTTCTTGCACCCATTCGATAGAAAAAATGGAGTTCTAGCGAAATATTCATGTTTTTTGTCGACTAGTACAGTGAAATTGGCCGAAAATGGGGCTCAAAGTGGGCAAAATCGCCGATGCGTAAACATCGCCGAGACCGCTAACTTTGCGAGAGCATAATTCCGTAAGTTTTCTATCAAATTTCAAACTTTTGGTGTCTTTATGATCGGGAAAAGATTCTCTATCTTTTCATAAGAGAAAATAATTTTTTTTTTTTTTAAATTTGGGCGACCCTGAGAACGAGTTTCGGAGAGGGCCTGTCGACCCTCAAAGGGTTAACTATGATAGGTGATGGTCTATGTTTACATTATTTAACCTAGCTAAATGATACCTAACCTAAATGAACCATACCACGGGTGGGATTGAACCCGCGGTCAGAGAGTCTCAAAACTCCAGACCGTCGCGTTAGCCACTGGAGTCATGGTAACCTAAATGATTCCTAACAAATCTTAAATGATACCTAACAAATCCTAAGTGATGCCTAACAAATCCCAAATGATGCCTAGTTAATCTTAAATGATGCCTGTCAAATCCTAAATGATATTTAACCCTTTCAGGGTCCGTCCCGTTGATCTACGGCTTTACGTTCAGGGTCCAAACCGTAGATCTACGTCATGAGCTCAGCTCACTCTGATAAACTGTGAGTGGTACATTTGGGCCTAGATATGAGAGAATACATCTATGTGGTATGTGTGCACCACATAAAATAGATCCTGCAGCACACTGTGTATAATGAGAGAAAAAAACTGAAATCATGATTTTTCGATTAAAACAGCGACTTTGCAATGTTTTTTTGTATGTTTTTATAGTTGTATTTGCGATTTCTTGGTCTCATTTGATAGAATGGAAGACATATTACAGAAATAGAGATGATTTTGATTGGTTTTAGCACTGGAAATGGCTTGAAACTGAGCTCAAATTAGAGGAAATGTTAAATTTTTGCCGATATTCAAGAGTAAACAAACGACCTCACACATCTAATACACACCAGCTGGTGGGTCTAATATACATTCACAAATATGGTGATGATATTTATACAATTATTACAGTATTGCATAACAGTATATCTTCTATTTTTTGGTGTGAATAAAAATTCATTATGTGAATAAAAAATCAAAATGGAATTTATTTGTAAAGCCTCAAAACGTAAGTAATGAACAGAGGAAACGTTAGTTTAGTTCCAGGAATACCTACATTGTTTATTCTGGACCCCATTTTGAAATCGGAATATTTTGAACTTTGTGTTAAATTGGCCAAATTAACAATTTCCGATCACTTTATTTTGTAGTTGAAACAGTTGACTTGGCGATTTCTTGTGCTCAATCGATGGCATAGAAGTAATATTAGTGAAATAGCTAAGAATTTGGTTGACTGGAATAATGTAATTGGCCTAAACTGGGAGTCAAAGTCGGCAAAATTGCCGATTCGTAAATATCGTTGACACATCAAAATTCGCGAGAGCATAATTTCGTCAATTTTCCATCAAATTTCGTACTTTTTGTTTTATTACCTTCACAAAAAGATTCTCTACCATTTCATAAGAAAAAATAAAAAAATTTTTTTTGAAAATTCTTGGACACTGGGGCACCACTTCAGATTTGGGCCTTGGACCCTGAAGGGGTTAATGAATCCTAAATGATGTTTAATGAATCCTAAATGATACCTTTCGAATCCTAAATGATGGCAAACAAATCCTGAATGATATCTAACAAATCCTAAATGATACTGAACAAATCATAAATGATGCCTGACAAATCGTTAATGATTCCTAACAAATCATGAATGATGCCTAGCAATCATAAATGATGCCTAACACATTCTAAATAATACCTAAGAAATCCTAACAGAAACCTATTTAAATAAAAAACCTACCTTAATGTAAACCAAACCTGTGACACCTAACCTAAATGAAATAAAGACGAACCTAATTTAACCTACATTAAACCTAACCATACCTCATCAAAATCTAACATAAATGAAACCTACCCTAAAGTAAATGAGCCCTACCCAAACCTAATGTAAATTCAACCTAATTTAACTAACCATAAAAGCCTAACCTTAACTTCACATAACCCAACCCAACCCCCTGTATCTCGCCTATTTTCATTAATACCAGAGGCATCGCTAGAGTTGGTGTCACCCAGGGCAGAATCTCTGGTGTCACCCGGGGAAGCATCTTTGGTGTCACCTGCATGAAATTCAAGAGCGGGGGGATGGGGAGGATAAACTCCGGTTATGTCATCGTACTCGACCAGTGATAAATGTTTAACAATGAGAACATTTAAGGGCCATAAACTGAACAGGAGAATACTTCCCAACTTTATTAATGATAAAATAAATAATCGTAGTAATATTGAGGAAACATAAACTCAAATACCACTTTGAGTACAGCCAACAGTTTCTACATTTATTCATCTTCAACAATGCCATAACTAAAAAACAAAAAAACTTGAAATATGAAGAAAAACATTGCAATATCAGAGAAACACTAGTTCGATATGACCTTGAGTACAGGTAACATCTCAGTGAATTTGATCTTACATTTGATCTTGAGTACATGTAACATCACAGTAAATCTGATCTTGCATTCTTTGCCTTCAATTATGCAAAATCATCTATCACATCATCAAAATCAATCTATCAAATCATCAAAATCAACGAAGGATTCTTCTCTTATGGTGGTGCAGCACTGTTTTGTGCATTAGTGTCACCTTCTTTTGAGGCTCTATGGTGTCACCCCCCTAAATGGTGTCACCCGGGGCAGCCCCCCCTTATGACGCCTCTGATTAATACATCTCTCCACAAATTAAAATTTACACAAGAAATACTTTTTCAGTGATGTACATTATGTGTACGTATTGGTGGAATCCAAATTAATGTTTGGGTTCCACCAAGTAGTTGTCAGTAACTATAGCTCAATATTCTTATGCTCTTCACTCATTACGTATTACGTTGTTTTTGCTCATTATTAGAGCATTGTTCTTCAGTCATCATTACATTGTATTAATGTGTTAATGTTGCAGTTTTATACCTGTAGTGTGGGCATGCCTCTGGCAAGACAGTGATGGAGTGAATGATGAAAATTTTTCTTTTTCAGGCCACCCTGCCTTGGCAGGAAATGGCTGATGTGTTAGTAAAAAACTTATTATATTCCTAACTCACCTTTCCAATATTGTGTTCTTCACTAATGGAAATAAGCTATGTTGACTTTTCTGGATTATCCTGGGTAATCAACACCTATGCTGCTATGTATATTTTGTGCTTCACTACTTCGTACTGCATGGTGTCCTCAGATTCTTTCACGTCATTTCACAGTCATTTCCAGTTGCTTTTCTTAGGCACACCTTATTGTTATCTACATACAGTTAGTTCTTGCTTTACAGCATTTCACTAATGCAGCAGTTTTCAATTATGCCCATTCTTCATTTATTCAGACTTCTTACAGTAAATATATTCACTCTAAGCTAAGGACAAAAATATTTGAAGGTATGTAATGTATGTGCTGTATATGCATTTTTTAGGCCTAGCTCTGTTGCTCAATATATGATAGTGTAAACATGTTATCAGGTTTTTATGTGCATTTGAAAGTGAAAAAAGGCTGTTTTGTTTTACATCAATTTTTGCTTTACATCAGTAGCCCGGAACCTAACCTGTTGTATAAGTGGAGCCAACTTGGATTCATCAGCTTGTTGTCCCTAAAACTCTTCTGCTCTTACTACTGATGCAATCCCTTCAAGGGGAAGTCTCTGATTATTGTAATATGCTTGTAATCCAAAGAATTAGAGCTACCCTTCATTGGATCATTTTCTACCTTTGATGGGTTTCGAGACTTTTTCTTCTGCCAGAATCTGGTCTTGGGCCCTATCTCAAGGTGCTGTATAGCCCTTAAGTATTTAGCACTTGTTTATGAATAGTTTGTACTGCAGTAATAATACTGGTAACTAATAATAATATTAAAAATAATAATAATACTAATGATGTAATATTTACAGTAAAACATGGATCGTCTGCTGCGCCTCGGAGGTGGTCTTCCATCACTTGGTCAAGGACCTCCACCAAATGATGCTCCAGTTCCTGATACTGCAGAACAGGTTAGCCATAACCCTGTCTACTATTCTATATTTTTTTTGTCATAACTAGGTCATACTGAAGAATAAAAAGACACAGTGTCGTGACTGGAACTATGAACAAATATCTCGGACATGGGAGACTGAAACTTATAACTACATTTTGATCTTTCTTGTACCATTAACTAGTCACCCAGGAGTGTGAAGGGAAGAGAGCCATAATATATATGAGTAGGGGGTGGGGATGGGAGTACTATAATGATTGTAATTGTATAGTAATTGTAGAAGTAGCAGAAAAAGAGTGCAAAATGGTAGAGGAGGCAATGAGAAGGTAGTAGTGGGAGTGAAAAATGTGTCAGAGGGTGGAGATGTAGCAAAGAGATGTTAATAGTAGTAGTAGAAGTAACAGTAGAGGTAGTCTAAGAACAGAGAGAATAGAGTAGCACTGCAGGAGAGCTAATGGCCCATGAGGGTAGAACCAAAACTGCATAGGATACTGCCTAGGTGGGTTCTGTCTTACAGAGTTTTGGCCCATTCAGATTTGGTTCTACCCTTGTGTGCTTTAGCTCTCCTGCAGTGCTCTTCTTTTCTTTTGTTCTTAGAGTACTTTCATTATTACTTCTATTACCATTAATATCTCTTTGCTAAGTCTCCGCCCTCTGACCCCTTTTTTTCGCTGCTGCTACTACCTTTTTATTGCCACCTCTACCACTGTTGTGCTGCTTTTTCTGCAACTACCACTAAAAGACCATAGCTTACTCTCGTCACACTACTCCTCTCCATCCCCCCTCCCACTCTATACTCTGACTTCCTTCCCTTTGCACTTCTGTGTGACTAGTTGAACCGAAACATCGTTATAAGTTTGTTTCCTACTTGCTGGCTGCTTGTGCATACAGTAGGGCCCCGCTTTACGGTGTTTCGCTTTATGGCGTTCCACTAATACGATCATTTCAAATTATGACCAAAACTCGCTATGTGGTTCCCCCCACCTGACTTTCTAATACTGTCACCACGCCCCACCCGGTTTGTTTACATTCTCTGTGAGATCCATAAGCACTAAGTCTCTCCATTATTTCAAGTGTTTTTAAAAGTTATTTCATATTTTATATATACTGTACTCTGATAATTATGCTTATGTATACCTGTACCAAAATAAACTTGCATACTGTGCTGGCATGCAGGTTCACATTAAAATCAGTAAGAGTGTCTTATATCTCAATACGTCATATTAGTAATGATAATAATCAACGAGTCTCATTTAAATGTCGTATATTACGTTAATATACACATTTTCATTAATCCATCTATGATATTTTTTCAAAATTATGTAATAAACACGATGCATAACATATAAAGATGATAAATACACCCCACAATAGAATAAATAAACATAAATATGAGATGTCGTAGCCAGATAACTTGTACAAGTGACAAGAAGAATAACATTTTCTCTAGTCTAACATAGAGAAAATGTGTTACTGGGGGTAACTGTAGAAAATTATTCCTTTTGTATGTAAGTTTATTCAGGTATACACAAATACAGTTACAAAGATTATCATACATAACTGCATATGTGTAGAGAACCTAGGATAACCCAAAAAAGGCAGACAGAATGACTTATTTCCATTGCCTTCACTCAGAGCGTCATTTCTTCTAATAATGGTGTTACATGAGAATGGGATTGTTCTTCTTTATTTATTCTACCATATCAATGTAGAGACAACTTGTACACAAACCGGACGTGTACACTTTGTTTACAAAACTTACGTTCGCCTGGTTTGTTTACATTACTCTGTGCCTGTCCTCCCTCATATACTGACTCTCTCTCTCTCTCATTTATTCGTTTTATCTCGTTTACTCACTCCTGACCCTACATGAAGACTACAAATATTTTAAGGTAAGTAATGAGTGAACTGTATATGCATTTTATCGCTCTGGGATGCTTAAATATCATAGAATATATGTGTGGGTGGAATGGCTTGGTATGGTAGCCCGGCTGACTACCTTACATACCACACTTGATTTCTTACAATAAATAGTACGTACTCATCTCACCCTAGATTAACCCTTTCAGGGTTTCGACCGTACTAGTATGGCTTACACACCAGGGTTTTTGACGTACTAGTACGCCTAAATTCTAGCGCCCTCAAATCTAGTGAGAGAAAGCTGATAGGCCTACATATGAAAGAATGGGTCTATGTGGTCAGTGTGCGCAGTATAAAAAAATCTTGCAGCACAGTGCGTAATGAGAAAAAAAAAACTTTGTGTTTTTGGATTAAAACAGCGACTTTGCACTGTATTTTCGTATAGTATTTATTGTTGTATTTTAGTTTTCCTGGTCTCATTCTATGGAATGGAAGACATGTTACAGAAATTGAGATGATTTTGACTGATTTTGCAATGAAAAGTACCTTGAAATTAAGCTCAAAGTAGCAGAAATGTTAGATTTTTACCAAAGTTCAAAAGTAAACAAATCATGCTAAGCGTCCAATACACGTCAACTGGTGAGTCTAATATTCTTTCACAAGTGCGCCGATATTATTTATACCATTTTTTACACTAATGCAGTAGTCTGCATAACAGTAAATCTTTTTTTTTTGTGAGAATAAAAATTCAAAGTGGAAAGCAAAAGAATGTAAGAGGGGCATTGGGACATGACTAATGAACAGAGGAAATGTCATTTTAGTGCCAGGAATGTCTTTCTTGTTTATTCTGGACCTTATTTGGAAATTGGCATGTTTTGAAATTTGTGTGAAATTGGCAAAATTGCTAAATTCTGACCACTGTATTGGATAATTGAAATTGGTAAATGGGTGGTTACTTGCACTCCTTCAATAGAAAATATGGAGTTCTAGCGAAATATTCATGATTTTTGTCACCTAGTGTAGTGGAATTGGTCGAAAATAGGGCTCAAAGTGGCAAAATCGCCGATGCGAAAACATCGTTGAGACCGTTAACTTTGCGAGAGCATAATTCCGTAAGTTTTCCATCAAATTTCATACTTTTGGTGTCATTATGATCGGGAAAAGATTATCTTTCCATAAGAAAAAATAATTTTTTTTTTTTTGAAATTTGGGGGACCCTGAGAACAAGTCTCTGAGAGGGCCTTTCGACCCTAAAAGGGTTAAGACTACAAATATTTTAAGGTAAGTAATGAGTAAACTGTATGTGCATTTTATCGCTCTGGGATGCTTAAATGTAATAGAATATGTGTAGGTGGGGTGGCCTGGTATGGTAGCCCGGCTGACTACCATACATACCACACTTGATTTCTTACAATAAATACTACTCATCTCACCCTAGATTTAAGACTATAAATATTTTAAGGTAAGTAATGAGTGCACTATGTGTGTATTGTACTTTTTTTATTGTTTTTTGATGTCTAGTTCTATTGCTAACTTAATATGTGTTAGTGTAAACTTATCTAGTATTTGTATGCATTTATAAGGGGAAAAAAAGGTGTGTTCCACTTGATGGCGATTTCCACTTTACGGCGGTAGCCTGGAACCTAACCTGCCGTATAAGTGGGGCCCTACTGTAACCCACAAATTTTTAAATAAATTGTTAAATATTTCAGTTCATTGTGTACCATGTAAAGATTTGTGTAAATTTTGCAATTGTGTATAGAATAGGTTATTAAGATAGTTCAGTATTTCAGGTTATGCTATAACTATATTCTTGTGGCAGGTGTACATCTCATCTCTGGCGTTGCTGAAGATGCTGAAGCATGGACGAGCTGGAGTGCCCATGGAAGTGATGGGTCTCATGCTGGGAGAGTTTGTTGATGACTACACTGTTAGAGTTATTGATGTTTTTGCCATGCCTCAGAGTGGTACTGTAAGTATTCTTAACATAATTAATACTTAGACATGACAACACAATACAGTGGACCCCCGCATAACGATCACCTCCGAATGCGACCAATTATGTAAGTGTATTTATGTAAGTGCGTTTGTAAGTGTATGTTTGGGGGTCTGAAATGGACTAATCTACTTCACAATATTCCTTATGGGAACAAATTCGGTCAGTACTGGCACCTGAACATACTTCTGGAGTGAAAAAATATCGTTAACCGGGGGTCCACTGTACTAGTTAAATAAACACAACACATGAAACAGTTTACCAAAAAGAGCAAGAGTTTTCACAGAAATGTTCTCTATAATGAAATTACTGGTTCACTACTCTTTGACTTCGACTTACTTCCTTATTTATGTCTCTTATATCTTCTTTCAAAAGTTTGCATTTACTTGATACATGAAACATTCGTACCTTCTGTTGTGCATACATACCACAGTGTACCATTATATTACACAGTAGTTACGTTCCTGAAAATGCCGTGTTAGGTAAATCTGTGTTTGATAAACTGAAGAACCTATGGGAATAATAGGGTTACATTCCTGGTAGCCCCAAGAAGCCAAACAATTTGTTTTTAGACTTCAGATCTTACTAAAGTAAAAGTAAATATGTAATTGTTGTTCATTGTTGTGATGTATTATGTTTTTACCATTTAAGAATACAAATGCAACAGAAATAATAGTATTTCTAACCTTAAATTGTGGGTGCTGGTGTTTGTGGATGATTGTGAAGAGAGTGGAGAGTTATGTTGTGGTCCTACTGGGCTGAGGTGGATGGTAGAGGTTCTGGTACTGAAGTTGATGGTTGTACTGGAGTGTGCATAAATCAGTCAGGTCAGTAAGTCAAGTCAGTCAGTGAGTAAATCATTCAGGTCAGCAAGTTAGTCAAGTAAGTCAGTAAATCAGTCAAGCCAGTAAGTCAATCAATCAGTCAGTCAGTAAGTCATATTTACTCAGTAACTCATATTTACTCAAACTGAACCATGTTAAGTTAATTTTATGAAGTGTTATACAGAAATGTGCTGCAGTTCTTCAGTAGTGCTATAACTAAAATGTGCCAAACAAAACCGTGTTAAATGACGGTCTAGAAGAGAATCTTTCATTTCTTCTTTTTCAGGTCACCCTGGCTCTATGGGAGACAACTGATGGGTTAAAAAGAAAAAATGACATTCATTGAATTTTAGATTTGATACTGTAGTGTAAAAATGTCTGCTGGGAAATATGAGAGAAACTTTTACCACGTTCATCAAGATTAAATTTTTTTTTATTACAGTAGCCAGCCACCTTTTGCGGCAGTTAAGCTCCATAAAAATGTACACGATATGTATACAAAAATGTGGTGGGTAGAGAAAATAACGTGTGGAAACATTAGGTTCCATCTTTTTCAAGGTGTCATGGCACAAATAAATATCACTAATTTTTTTAACAGTTTGTTTCTTGTTGATCTAGAAATGTGTGGAGAGGGTTCATGTTGCACTGCTAGGTCTAGTTGCATGTAATGAAGTTTATACTTTGTTATGTGCAATATTTGATTAATGGATTGTTCAAGGTGAAATTTACATTCAGCCTCTCCTCATTTAGCAATGTACTCGTTTACCAATGACTTTGACTTACGACGGGCTCTCTGACTAGAATGCATACCTAAATAATGTATTATTGCTGATTTACTCTATTCTGTTAATTAAAATATACAGTACACTGCTGTATAAACATTTAAAAATATATTAATAATTTTATAAATGGTGCAGTGATGACATTAAAATAACAACAAAGATGGTTGACACAACGCCCACTACTATAATAGTATACTCCTTGTTTATCGATGACTTCGTTTACTGACGTGGTCTTAGGAATGGAACTCCATCGTTAAGTGAGGAGAAACTGTAATGTATATTTATGTGCCCATGACCCATGTGTTGTCATAACCTTTGTAAAAAAAAATATATGTACCCAAAATTTAAGTAGAAAAATTATTAATAAAATTAAGTAAGGCTCTTGAGGGAAATGTGTGTTTGACAGTTACTATGTACTCCTTCCATAGTAAATGGGACATGCTTCTTCCTGAGAGTGTGTTACAGCTTCACTGTTGTTTTGTTCTTTTAAGCACACTGAGACTAACTTTTATTCCTCTTCTTAGTGCCTCTAATATTACTAGTATGCCTTGTTTTATGCCATGGTTAATATTCAGAGACAAGACAGGGTGATAAAAAAGAAAAATAGAGTGAAGACAAGAATGGTGGGTGTAGGGTGAGAGACTGTGTTAGTAAAGCACGTGAGTGTAGGGTGTGGGACTGTGGTAATGAAGCAGGTGAATGTAGGGTGTGGAGCTGTGTTAGTGAATCAGGTGAATGTAGGGTGTGGGGCTGTGTTAGTGAAGCAGGTGAATGTAGGGTGTGGGGGCTGTGTTAGTGAAGCAGGTGAATGTAGGGTGTGGGGCTGTGTTAGTGAAGCAGGTGAATGTAGGGTGTGGGCTGTGTTAGTGAAGCAGGTGAATGTAGGGTGTGGGGCTGTGTTAGTGAAGCAGGTGAATGTAGGGTGTGGGGCTGTGTTAGTGAAGCAGGTGAATGTAGGGTGTGGGCTGTGTTAGTGAAGCAGGTGAATGTAGGGTTGGGGCTGTGTTATGAAGCAGGTGAATGTAGGGTTGGGGCTGTGTTGTGAAGCAGGTGAATGTAGGGATTGGGGCTGTGTTAGTGAAGCAGGTGAATGTAGGATGTGGGCTGTGTTTAGTGAAGCAGGTGAATGTAGGATATGGGCTGTGTTAGTGAAGCAGGTGAATGTAGGGTATGGGGCTGTGTTAGTGAAGCAGGTGAATGTAGGTTGGGCGTGTTGTGAAGCAGGTGAATGTAGGATATGGGGCTGTGTTAGTGAAGCAGGTGAATGTAGGATATGGGGCTGTGTTAGTGAAGCAGGTGAATGTAGGATATGGGGCTGTGTTAGTGAAGCAGGTGAATGTAGGATATGGGCTGTGTTAGTGAAGCAGGTGAATGTAGGGGTGTGGAGCTGTGTTAGTGAAGCAGGTGAATGTAGGTTGGGCTGTGTTAGTGAAGCAGGTGAATGTAGGGTGTGGGCTGTGTTAGTGAAGCAGGTGAATGTAGGTGTGGGGCTGTGTTAGTGAAGCAGGTGAATGTAGGTGTGGGGCTGTGTTAGTGAAGCAGGTGAATGTAGGTTGTGGGCTGTGTTAGTGAAGCAGGTGAATGTAGGGTGTGGAGCTGTGTTAGTGAAGCAGGTGAATGTAGGGTGTGGAGCTGTGTTAGTGAAGCAGGTGAATGTAGGGTGTGGGGCTGTGTTAGTGAAGCAGGTGAATGTAGGGTGTGGGGCTGTGTTTGTGAAGCAGGTGAATGTAGGGTGTGGGGCTGTGTTTGTGAAGCAGGTGAATGTAGGATATGGGGCTGTGTTAGTGAAGCAGGTGAATGTAGGGTATGGGCTGTGTTAGTGAAGCAGGTGAATGTAGGTGTGGGGCTTGTTTAGTGAAGCAGGTGAATGTAGGATATGGGGCTGTGTTTGTGAAGCAGGTGAATGTAGGATATGGGGCTGTGTTAGTGAAGCAGGTGAATGTAGGGGTATGGGGCTGTGTTAGTGAAGCAGGTGAATGTAGGTTGGGGCTGTGTTAGTGAAGCAGGTGAATGTAGGGTTGGGGCTGTGTTAGTGAAGCAGGTGAATGTAGGGTGTGGGCTGTGTTTGTGAAGCAGGTGAATGTAGGTGTGGGCTGTGTTAGTGAAGCAGGTGAATGTAGGTGTGGGCTGTGTTAGTGAAGCAGGTGAATGTAGGGTGTGGGGCTGTGTTATGTGAAGCAGGTGAATGTAGGGTGTGGCTGTGTTTGTGAAGCAGGTGAATGTAGGGTGTGGGCTGTGTTAGTGAAGCAGGTGAATGTAGGATATGGGGCTGTGTTAGTGAAGCAGGTGAATGTAGGGTGTTGAGCTGTGTTTGTGAAGCAGGTGAATGTAGGGTGTGGGACTGTGTTAGTGAAGCAGGTGAATGTAGGGTGTGGGGCTGTGTTTGTGAAGCAGGTGAATGTAGGATATGGGGCTGTGTTAGTGAAGCAGGTGAATGTAGGGTGTTGAGCTGTGTTTGTGAAGCAGGTGAATGTAGGGTGTGGGGCTGTGTTAGTGAAGCAGGTGAATGTAGGGTGTTGAGCTGTGTTTGTGAAGCAGGTGAATGTAGGGTGTGGGGCTGTGTTTGTGAAGCAGATGAATGTAGGATATGGGGCTGTGTTAGTGAATCAGGTGAATGTAGGGTGTGGGGCTGTGTTAGTGAAGCAGGTGAATGTAGGGTGTGGGGCTATGTTAGTGAAGCAGGTGAGTGGACAGCCAGTTACACTACCCATCCTCCCCACCTTTGTCTCAAGACAGCCAGTTACACTACCCACCCTCCCCACCTGTGTCTGAAGGACAAATAGTTCCACTACCCACCCTACACTACACTTGGAAAATCCTGGAAGGAATGGTCCCAAATCTGCACACAGAAATCACTCCCTATGAAAGTAAAAGACTGGGCAGGCTATGCAAAATGACCCCAATTAAAAGTAGGGGCACCATTACACTAAGGGAAAACACCATAAGTGTCCAGGGCCCAAGACTGTTCAACAGCCTCCCATCAAGCATTAGGGGAATTACCAATAAACCCCTGGCTGCCTTCATGAGAGAGCTGGACAGATACCTAAAGTCAGTGCCGGATCAGCTGGCTGTGGCTCGTACGTTGGACTGCGTGCGGCCAGTAATAACAGCCTAGTTGATCAGGCCCTGATCCATTGGGAGGCCTGGTCATGGACCGGGCCACGGGGGCGTTGATTCCCGGAATAACCTCCAGGTAACCCTCCCCACCTGTCTTAAGACAAGCCATTTACACTACCCACCCTCCCCACCTGTGTCAAGACAAGCCATTTACACTACCCACCCTCCCCACCTGTGTCTCAAGACAAGCCATTTACATTACCCACCCTCCCCACCTGTGTCTCAAGACAGTAAGTGCTCCTCATCTTATAGT